TATATATATATATATATATATATATATATATATAATTATGGGTAAGGTTCATTTAATTTTATCCAACTTCAATTAGTAATAATATGAGGCCATTTAATAAAAAATAGTTGCATTTAATGCAAATATGTTCACCATTTAACAATAATATGTAACTTTCAGTTACACAATTTATTTTGACATGTCACATTTTGAATGGTCCCCATTACTCTAACACATTTTTATGTCATGAAATACAAAATATTTTTGTTTTTTTTTTTATTTTGACAGTATATATTTTTTGGGTATTATATAAATACATATTTCATAACTAATTTAAAATGACTACAAATATCTTTATTTTCTATTACAGTCATACAATAATATAAATAATTATTCGGATATTACAAAGATACATCAAACATTTTGAGAATTAAATCCCAGAGTCACGAGCCGATGAAATTTAATGATATGATTTGTTGTGATAAGGATTCTGACGTTAATAAATTGCGATTGTTTTATATAAAAAAGTGTTTAATAATATTTAGATTAACTTTTTTATATAATTTTTTCTCATTCACTAAGTTATGATTTTTTATTTTGTTCTATATTTTTAATTATTTTCTCTTCTATTATATTATTTTTCGTACAAATGCACGGGGTAAAACTAGTGATTTGTAATCTCGGAGGGTTCATACTAATTGGTTTAGTATTCTATTAATAATAAAATTATTTGTTGGGCACATATGATTTGTAGCTAAATTCAAAGCCCAAATAATTTCTTATTAAACTCGGGCAATAGGCAGAAATCTCAAAAAAATCCAAATGAATCAGCATCATATAAAGGATAAGAATAAAGAGATGTCCTTTGAATATCGTCTCTGAAAAATCCCGTAACCTAATTTCCTCAATTTAGTCGCCGTTCTTCTCCTTCCGTCGGCACTTCACAGCGGGGCTCTCTGCGCGGGCGTGCTGCTGTCACCACTGGTCAGGGCCCCCGACTCTTCGTCGAGGTGAAGATTTCGCGGTCGATTGATGCTTCATTGTGCCGTGTTGCTCCGGCTGGCTTTCGATTGCGAGTGGTTCTCCGGCGTCTCGATGGTGGGGCTGGGTGGCGTGCTCCGATTTCCGTTGTGCGGAGGTCGAAGTATAGGTGAGTCCCCTTTCTTTCCCCTTTTTTCTTGCTCGCTTGGGGTTTGTGCGTAAGTCCCGGCCGGGTGTGGAGGGTCGCTGCCTGTGGCTGCTTGGCTGATGTCGTCGGTGGTTTTCGAGAGGGTTGGTGCTTGGGGTTTCCATGGTGCCCTGCTGCCCCTGGAATTCCCGTTGTCCCTTGTGTAGGGAGACGGGCTTTCGCTGATGGTGCCGATCTAGGGCTCGGGTCGTCTGCGGGCTTCTAGCTTCTGGTTGGTAGGGTTGTGCGAGTTTGGGGCTGACTTCAAGTTGACTGGTGCATGGGTGAGATCTGAGGACCTCTGCTATGATCTGTAGTTTGTGTTCTTCTTAATTCACATTTGATTGTATCTGTAGTTTGTGTTCTTCTTAATTCACGAATAATTGTGTCCTCTCAAGCTACTTTGTCCATGACCTCCTATTAAATTCTTGCATATCATTTTATAATTATATTTATTTTATATATTTGTTGTATTTGCATTTTGTTTTCTTTCTTGCAATTCTGGTACCGATGGTTGTTGGTAAACGTTGTATTGAAGTTAGCCTGACACTGAATGCAGTGAGAACACCAAATTTACAGTGCCCACAAAGGGATGGTCATCAGCCAACAAAGAGTCTGGTTTGAACTCCAATGTGGTAGCAAACTCTTCCTTTGTAATGTTTCACTTATCTATGATCATTCGTAACATAGTCTCATGTTGTAGTTGCATAATTTGTAAGGAACCGTTCCATTACGCCGAAGTATCAGAAAGAAATTCAAAGTAAACCTATTTGTGAGTGGAGAGCGGACTTTTTCAAGGTATTAATTTTTATCTCATTCTTAATGTAATTTTAGGTCCTTTAACTTGCAAATACATTTCAATATTGTTGAACTTTGACGAGAAATTCTCTATGTGGAGGCATGTCAACTTTGAGGCCAGGACACCCAATGCAAATCCCAATGACAAACCACTCCTCCTTTTGTTTCCTGAATTATATAAGAAGAATGGCGAATATGAACTCAGCACACTGTCACATGTGAACCCTTCCCATGATGGTTAGTGTTACTATCTTTGCGCCACTGAGTATTTGGTGGTTGGTTTCTTTGTTATGTGGTCTTGATGCTTTTTACACGTTTCTTGTGCCTAGCTCTACTCCTGACATCATTTTTCTATGTTTGTTCATGGTATGTGGAGTAACATTAGTTCTGCAAATTTGATTGTACAAAAATTTCATCAAGACTTCAAGTGTGAGAAATTTTCAACCTTATTAATTTTATTCCTTATCAGAAACATGATTCACAATGTTGCAATCTTGTTTCAACAAGGCACAAAAAGTTGAAAATTTAATTGATGTATATTGTGTTATCATGGGTGGATATTTGTTGGATAATAGTGCAATAGTTTTTGTTCTGAATCTGTTTGT